GGGGGGATACATTGCGACTAGGGTGGATTGTAAGAAGGACACTTTTATTCTTATAACATGGATTGTTTTTCCTATGTCATGTTGACCATACTCTTCTTCTACTTATGCAGGAAAATGATGCTCTTTGTCAGTTATTGACGTCGTGTTCTCAGATCTTTGTAGATGAGGTATCTGTCACTGATCAGTTGTTTATGTTGGTGTAACATCATCTGACAGAACACCTGACATGAATTCTTTATTTTTTTGTGGATGTGTCTGTCTTCGATGGAAATAATGTTTTGTATGCTTCATTATTACTAGACACAGACCCGTTCTACGAACGGTGATATAGTGATAGGAAAGCCCAAGATAAAATGTTTGTACTTGTACCTGATTCATTGCCGTAGGACCTCAGTGTAGACAACATTGCTGGTATATGCGCCATCTGGAACACCGTCCTGGGCAGCAGCTCTGTCCGCATATATCCTAATAGAGTCCCTGGACCCAACAGAACAAAGCACCCTGTAAAGAAACCCCTGTCCTTTTCAAAGTCTGTCCCTGAGCTTTGTTGGCAGTCATTGCAAAATCAGGTCTAACCGGAACTTGTTTCCGTCGCATATGAAAGGGAAACATGTTGTCTGAAGGCATGAGGGGAATCCTTGGGATGACAAGTTTCTTTTCGGCATGTGGACCGCAAGCAACGACAGCATCAATTACATGCTGATGAAGGTTTTGAAACACATAGCGAGTCCCGTTGCAGTGGCCGTTTGTGGGATCCAGATTTCTCAGCAACATGACAATGCTGTCTTTCCGCAATGTCAGTTTGTGGGGTGGCATACCTGACTGACATAGAGAATTGATAAATTCGATGGGGTATTGGTGTTCATTTTCTTCCCCCGAATCACTGCTCCTTTAGACTGTTTCTTCTCCGGGAAAGGACTGCATGATCAGGTTGTTGATTCTGTCTACTCTGTCTACTTCTGTGTTGGTGGGACAGATGATGCAGCGGGAAGCCAGACAGTCAGGATTTGTGCTAGACTGCGAGTTATGGAAGACAAAATTTATCAACTCTCGTTCGCTCTTTACTGTGTTTTCATCTGGCAGTTTTATCGCAAACTCCCCGATTTGCTTGCATACATTGTTTTTGGAATTACCAATGTTCAGTAGATAGTTGGAGAAATCAGCAGTCTCACCTGTAAGCAAACCCCTCATGTTTAACATGCTCCCACAGATATGATGATTTCAGCTTTGCACTGATTATCTGTGATCTTGAGCCATGGCGAACTACTGGTAGCATCTGGCGCCAGTCACACGACATCAGCACATTTAGCCCACCGAAAAGAGAGTCATTCCCACATAATAATGTCTCGAAGTGTTCAGTCTATGGCTTCAAAGATGTTTTTGTGGCCCATCGATACTTCATCAATGAAGAGCAGCTCTGTTTGGCGTAATAAAGTGCCACTGGCATCTTGTGGACTCACACGGCACATGGACTGTTCGTTCACACTCAGGGGTATTTTGCATCTGCTGTGCAATGTTCTGCAATTTGAGAGCAGAGTTGCCGCAATCCTGACAGAACTGTAGCAAGGGCGATCTTAAAGGAACGGACAGCCGCAAGAATCAGGTTTATAGTGTCTATTTCATGAAAATCGTATTAATTGAAAAAGCAAAACAGGACAAAAAAATATCTAAAAACTTAAAGAAGATGCTTCTTGCATTGCTGGATCCTTCTCAGTGTTATCATCGAGCAGTCCAAGTTGGTTGCATGAGTCTTGATAAGATGTGTAACTTGATCCATTTAATGTTTTCAGATCTTGGTTGTTCTCCCTCAATGTGACTGTGTTCTGCAGGTGGCAGCTGAAAGTCTTTATGCAGATCCAACCGATCATTATCAAGAATGTGCTGAAGTTGTAGCAACACTTATTTCCCAATCTGCGGATTCAACTCGGTGACCTTGTCTCTCATCATGATGTCCTGGCATAGGTCTAATTTGTGCTTGTGACAAAATGAGAGAGGATCAGCTGGGCGGCAATAGATGAGAATGGTTGTTAAGGCAAGACGTAACTGGGGTCCAAATCTTATGGAAGATGCTTCTTGCATTGCTGGATCCTTCTCAGTGTCATCATCGAGCATTCCAAGTTGGTTGCATGAGTCTTGATAAGATGTGCAACTTGATCCATTTACTGTTTTCAGATCTTCAAAACTGATTGCCCCAGGCTTGTGGTGAAGTAGAAGTCGCAAGTAGTAGAGCTCTGCCTGGCGTGGACTGAGCGATACAATTGAGACGCGCCCAATGCAGTCAGTTCTACATTCCTCTGGATTATCTGGGTTTTTCACACCTCGTTTCCTTCTCTGCCACTTGTGATCTTTGTTATTTCAAGTGAAATTGTGGGGAGTGTGCGTATAGCTTGTCCAATCCAAATACATTTTTTCAGACAACTTATGACTGCACACGTCATTTTTTATCAAACAGTTGCCAGTCGTCATGTATCGATTTGTCTAAACTAACTGTAAGCGAATGATTCTGGAACAGGTATTAAGTTTTCTCCTTTTCTTTTTGTCAAAAATAAATGATTTATTGGCGACGTACAGTGTGACTCGTATCATGTCTTCCTACTTCGTATCTAAGATATACAAGATGAAGCTGATTATTTTCTCTATCTGTATTATGGCTCATTGCTTGCGCAAAGTATTTTGTTTACTTCATTATCGTGTATATAAAAGGTAGTTCGGCTTATTTGAACCAAAGAAAGTAAAATAAAACTTAAATGAAAAATGTTTGAGAATTGTACAGTCTAGTTTATTTTTTTTACCTCTGATGGACACATAGAAACAAGCCACTCCTGTAAGTGAAAAGTACTTTTTTTTCCATAAACCTATAACGTTGAAAATCGTATTCATTGAAAAAGCAAAACAGGACAAAAAATATCTAAAAACTGAAAGGCTCAAAGTAAATAGAATCAAAAGTTATTCACAAAACAAATCTGTGATATTTTCGAGGTGGACAAGCTATAGACAAAGAACAAATGGAAAAAACTAAAGAACACACGTTGTACAATAAGCTGATATTTATTATATACTCTTTGATGATCTCTTCTGGCATACACGCAAAGCTCAAAAGATAGAGGTAATACTTACAAACATAAACCAGTACATGCCTGAATAAGTACACTGATATCAAGATGCAATATCGCCGTAAAAAAGTGACAGCACTTAATCATATAATGCAAGGTCTTTTAAGCACATATAGGAGCAATCAATGTAGCCTTTTAAACTTGATTATAAAAAAATATATTAGAATTATCTTTGCTGTTTATTTGTAACAATCTTTTTTTCTGACATAGGACCAACTTGATACTGACTTTTAGGATTTGTGTGTGTGTGTATAT